GCTGTGATTTATAAAGGAAAGATGCGCAGAAACATGCGTACGTACGGTTTTATAAATCTGAATTTTTTTTGGCATGTGCCATTTCTACCTTTTGGCCGTACGTTCACTTTTAGTATGGTTTCCACGCAATCCTTTATAAATGAGACCCCTGGTCTGTTTCTAGTTTTATTCTTCACTTTAGTTTCCTCTAGTGATTCTAATCAGATTTGGTCTTCTGCAGTCTTTTATGTTTTCTGCTCAGACTTCCTGTTCCATTTCCTGTTCCTCTGTTTTGCCACGCCCACTTCTCACCTGCCCCGTTTTGTCATTCTGCTCACCTGTTTGTCATTTAGCTCATTATTCTGGTTTTATATTCTGTCTGTGTCAGTTTTTAGGTCAGAGAAGATTTTTATTTTATTTTATTTTTTATTATTATTTTTTGTGTCTAAGTTTTTTTGTCTTTGTTCTTTTCTTGAGATCCTGTTAGTTTGTTGTCTTGTCAGGTTTTTGGTTCAAATAAAGTTTATTTTATTTTATTAGAACTTCTGAAGTTCCTCCTGGCACCATGACAAGTAGAGGTGCCGGGAGGCAAATGAGAAGTTTAGCTGTTTGTTCCCTCTTGGTCTGTTCCTGTAGTTTTGCTCCAGACACTGATAGAACTGATGGACGGTGAAGTAGACTGGTCCCAATTAACGTGAACAAAAGAAAACCAGTGCATGTGAATAAACGCTTTAATATGTTTTGCCTGTTTTCCAGTCCTATGAGGACCTGGTCCATCGTTTGGAGCCAGTGATCATGGAGCTGGAGAGGCAGGAGAACGTCCTGGTTGTCTGCCACCAGGCTGTGATGCGCTGCCTTCTGGCCTACTTTCTAGACAAAGCTGGAGGTAAAGAGAACAAGTTTAACTTCTCTGTGAACTCTGGCTTCTTTCTGATTGTTTGTCCTTGCTTCGTGCTGCTGTGAAAATACTGTTTTCTGTCTGCAGACGAGTTACCTTACCTCAGGTGCCCTCTGCACACAGTGCTGAAACTCACACCTGTAGCTTATGGTAAGGTAGTCACCATTACAACAAGGAAGACTCGTCTCTACAGACCTCTTCTAATGTCTGCTTTACTCTGACAGGATGTAAAGTTGAGTCATTTTTCCTCAACATTGAAGCTGTGAACACCCACAGAGACAAGCCAAAGGTACGTGTCCACAGGTCTGTGTCCACAGGTCTGTGTCCACAGGTCTGTGTCCACAGGTCTGTGTCCACAGGTCTGTGTTGGTTTTACTGGAGACACAACATCCGGAGATATGATGATGGCTGCTTATACAGTAATATCACATGGATGATTACAGGTTAGTGACAGGAAGTCAAGTCCATCACAAGTCAGGTCTATCACAAGTCAGGTCTATGTAAACCACAAGTCAAGTCCATCACAAGTCAGGTCAATGTAAACCACAAGTCAGGTCCTTCACAAGTCAGGTCAATGTAAACCACAAGTCAGGTCGATGTAAATCATGAGTCAGGTCAATGTACATCACAATTATACTGAGTACACATACTGAGAGCACACGGTCATGCAGAGAGTACACAGTCTTACAGCCTGATATTTTACTATTTTAAAATTTGAAGTTTAAAAAGAAAAACCAAAGAATTGCTAAATCTTGGTGACATTGGTGAGAAAAGAATGTCAGACTGCACATCTAACCCTGACTCTCATGACTGATGCAAAGAAAAAACACTGGCAGGAAACATGTAGGCATTTTGACTAACAAAGAACAAAGAAAATAAACAATAATTTTCAGCAACAAAACATAGTGAAAGCTCTAATTGTGACATTTTCTTGCTCTTTGTGTCTGTGTGGTTTCTGCAGAATGTGAGCATCAGCAGAAACCCAAATGAAGCTCTGCAGACTGTGCCTGATCATATCTGAACTGTTCTGAAACTGGATGGATCACTAATAAGACTCAAAGACTCAGAGACTCAAAGACCCAAAAACCCAAAGACCCAGAGACCCAAAAACCCAAAGACCCAGAGACTCTGATTCAAAGACTCAGAGACTCAGAGACTTGATGCAATGCTTGTGTGAAAACTAAGAAACTTCTTCATCACAGCTGATGAAGAGGAGATGGAACACAGGATCCAGCCTGCAGCTGCAGACGTTTGCTTTTAATAAAAAACAAAACAAAAAATATGAATAATTTATATACAGAATGATGGTTTATTATTTAGTTTAAATGTACGACCTAATCCTTTCTGTTGTGTTGTTATTAATCTGATTAAATCATTAGAAATTAGAACCATGGACAGAACCTGGAAGTAAAACTTCTGGCTGAGATAAGAGCACAAAGAAGGGCGACTAAAGTCATAGAGAAATAAAAATATATAATTTATAAAACAAGATTAATGTGTTGGTTTTATTTCTTGCCTGACTGATTTGAGCAGAAACGAGCTGATCCAGACAGATGGGTTTTATTAAAGAGCTCTCAGTGGAAATAAAGACTTGTTTTAGGAAACACATGAGGAGTTCTAAGAAGAGCGAGGGGAGGAGGTGCAGGGGGAGGTGTTCTCAGAGGAGCAGGAGTGTGGACCCCTCAGCAGTCTGAGGAAAAACAAGCCGCTCGCTGCTCGGGTCAACCTGCCAGGACTGACGCCAACGTCCCACTGAACTCCAGCTGCCGGACCTTGTCCTTCCCACCTGCTGCACATCCTCTTCATCAGAACTGTCTCCAGGTGGTTCTCACATGGTGCCGAGCCGGGCAGGTTTGAGCTGAGCTGAGGAGACGGTGTAAAATGTGACCATCCCTGTTTGGATCTGTCAGACCGAAGATTTTTTTTATTATTATTTCACAGCATCAAACCAGGATGTTTTTAAAGGTTCCCTTTGTTTTCCTTTGTCTCTGTCTGAATCTGCATGAAGCCTCATCCAAAGACTATGAGGCCCACCTGAGCAGAACTTTTCTTTTCCAGGTAAGGAGTTTTTCTCTCTGTTTTAATAAAATTCATGTTAGGTGGCTCAGTGGGGCAGCGGTTACAGCTGTCAACTCACAGGTTCACCTCCCAGCCTGGGCTCAATTGACATGTTCTCCCTGGGATCCTGGGTTTCCTCCCACAGAACAAAAACATTCTGGAGTCGATCACAACTGCTTTAATGGTTCACAGGTTCTGGGTGAAAGCGTGAATGATTGGTGGTCTCATTTGTTTCTGTGGCCATGTGATGGACTGAAGACCTGTACAAGTGTCCTCATCCCACAGTGACCGATAGAGGGAGACACAAGAGAAGAAGGTGGATGGATAATGGATGGATGTATTTATGGATGGATGATGGATGGATGGATAGACAAATGGTGGATGATGGAGGATGGATGGATGGATGGTTGATGGATTAATGGATGGATGGATGGATGGGATGGATGGATGATGGATTAATGGATGGATGGATAGATGGATGGATGGATGATGGATGGATGGATAGATTGATGATGGATGGATGTATTTATGGATGGATGGATGGAAGGATGGATGATGGATGGTTAGATGGATGGATGGAAGGATGGATGGATGGATGGATGGTTGGATGATGGATGGATTTATGGATGGATGGATGATGGATGGATGGAAGGATGGATGGATGTATGGATGGATGATGGACGGATGGATAGATGATGGATGATGGATGTATGGACAGATGAATAAATGGATGGATGATGGATGGATGGATGGATGGATGGATGGATGGATGGATGATGGATGGATGGATGGATGATAGATGGATGGATGGATGATAGATGGATGGATAGATGATGGATGGATGGATTGATGATGGGTGGATGGATGGATGATGGACAGATTGATGATGGATGGATGGATGATGGATGGATGGATGATGGATGGATGGATGATGGCTGACTGGATGGATGGATGGATGATGGATGGATTGATGATGGATGGATGGATGGATGATGGATGGATTGATGATGGATGGATGGATGGATGATGGATGGATTGATGATGGATGGAT